GTTTCCGGCCCCGGCGCGCTCACGCCGCTGCGCAGCTCTTTGGAGCTACTTCCGGCGACCGGCCCGCCCTGCCCCCCGCCCGGGGCGTCTCCATTTTAGCCGTGAGTAGAGAGGCCGCCGGGACGAGCGGTTTCTCGGTGCGGAGTCATCAGTAGTCAGAGGTCCGAGTCGGCTCACCGCACTTCCCCCCTTCCTCCCGCTGCCCGCAGAGGCCGGGGTCGCGCATGGCGGGCCTGGAGGTCCTGTTCGCGTCGGCAGCGCCCGCGATCACCTGTGCGCAGGACGCGCTGGTCTGCTTCCTGCACTGGGAGGTGGTGACGCACGGCTACTACGGCGTGGGCGCGGGCGACCAGGTACGCCGCGGCGCCGGCTGCGGGCGGGTGGGGGCTGAGGGGTCTTCTCCCCGCACCCGAGGCCCAAGCCTGACCAGGGCACCCAGCCCGCCCCTCTCCCCAGCCTGGGACCTGGAGCCCATGACACCGTCGGTGTAGTCCGCGGGTCGGGGAGGCGATCTCCCGCCACAGCTCAGCCCAGAGCCCCTCCCAACGCAGCCGGCACGTAATTAGAAACCCAAGGCCAGACGCTCGTTTGCTTTCAGCACAGCCTGGCCCTCTCCGAGGTGTCCACTGAGCCCCTTCCCACGCGGTGGGGGTGGGGAACTGTATTCGGTCTGCCCTCCTGCTGTCCCAGGTAACTGGACCCAAGCTCCGCTACAGGGCTGAGCTTTGGCCTACTCGGCCCCAGGTGAGGGCCCTTCCTTCACTCCTCAGCCTGGGCCGGGAGAACTCACACACCCCTTATCCTTTGCAGACCACACACCGCTGTCATCCCCAGCTTAGGCTTTGGAAAACAAGCACCTCACGCAAGTACACACATGCACCTGGGTGTAAGGGCCAGGCAGGATTTCCTCCCCAAAGCCTCCCTACAGGACCAGCCCCTCCTGCTCTCGCATCCACAGGCTGTGCCTCTGGGGGCCTTGTTATCCCCGCAGAGCCCCAGGGCCTCGGGACCCTGCCTACCTCACTGTTCCCTTGCTGCAGCATTCTCTCATCGTCCCTGACCCTCCCCTGTGACTCATCCTACACATCAGCCTGGCCCCCTTACTGCCCCTTTATTTTCCTTCTACCCTACCAGAGAAAATATCTTCCCTGCCATGATTCCCAAATACACTCAGAACTCCAAGCCAGCTCCTCACTATTACCCTCTTCTCACTCTCAGAACCTAAACCAGCTCTGGGGAGCAGGGCACCTCACCCCTTGCATCTAACAGTGAGATTTTTAACCCTACTCTCATTTCTTTCTTTTTTTAAATATATGTCTGTTGATTTCAGGGAGAGGAAGAGAGAGAGAGAAACATCAATGATGAGAGTCATTGATCAGCTGCCTCCTACACGCCCCCTGCTGGGGATTGAGCCCGAAACCTAGGCATGTGCCCTAACAGGGAATTGAACCGGGATCTCCTGGATCCTGGGTCAATGCTCAACTGCTGAGCCACGCCATTCGGGCCCTAATCTCATTTCTAACTGCTTCAGTTCTCAAGCTTATTAATCCTTTTTTAGTTTCTCAGATATACATCCAGAGTCTTAAACTTTTCCTCATCTGCATAGAGCTCTAGGGATCCTTCCTCAAAGGTGGTGTATACATCCTGAGCACTTAGAGCCAGATCTGTCCCCATGTCCCTGGCTGCCCCATTCGTCTGTCTCTTAGCACTAGTGACCAAACCACCACGCTCCTCTCACACTTTACCCTCACCAATAGGAATGAGAAGCACAAGAACTGTCATGGGTTTCTGGGTCGCCCCCCCCCCATCTCAAGTTTCTCACTGAGACCCCCGATACACACTTAGCATCCTTTATCCCCACCTCTAGGCTCACACATACGTCATCCCTCAGGTGGACTCTGGGACTGGAGATAAGGCTGGAAAAGAAGGACCAGTCTTATACACACGCACACGCGCGCACACACTCACACTGTGCAGGAATCATTTCTCTCTCCCAAATGCCTCTTGCTGGCCTGTCTTTTCACCCTGCATTTCAGACCTTGAGACAAGGTAGAGACAGTCCCCACTCACAGGTGTCAGGTTTCCCCTTTTCATGGTATAGTGTGCCCTACAGAAGACTGCCCCATTCTAGCTTTCTAGTCTTTAACAGTTCTTTCACTTGCCCCAATCATTTCATTTCAGCCTTTCCAGGGAAGTTCTCCCAGGAAGCTGACATGTGGGATAGGAGAGGGAAATTAAGACTTGGTCCTGACCTTGGAGCTCCTCCATCAGCCCTCAGCTCCCCCCACCCCTTGTCTTTCAGATCTAACATGTCTGCTCTGCTCTCTGCCCCTCCTCATGTACCCCACTCTTCTTATTTACTTCCAGCTAGCTACTGCTACTCTGACACACTGTCAGAACCTCTCTTCCCAGAAACAGGTTTTTGTTACCAAGGGCCTGTGTGACTCCCTTCTTTTCTCCCCATGCCAAAGATACACACCAACACTGCAGATCTGCATCCACCACTCATCCCCTCACACACCCCGTCAGGAACTCTGATTCACTTTGGCAGCTTAGGGACATTCATTCGTATTTGTTATCCCCTCCTTCCTGCCAGCATCAGACCTTTTGCCATATACTCTGAACCCCAAAACGTTCAGGTGAATGTGCAGAAAGAATACAATCTCATTTCAATAGTGGTTTATAAAAAAAAAAAAAAAAAGATTCTAATTCCCAGAGGCCCATCTAGTTCCACTCTGTTCATGGTGCCATGTGCTGAGTTCATGCAGAAAATGGTGCTGGCTCCACACATAGTGGAGGATGCCAGAGAGAGTGGGAATGAGGGTTTTCAGAAGGCATTGCCCACTGTTCATATAGCTACCCCAGTGCTAAATCATGCATGCCCTTTGAGGGGGTGGGTTTTTGTAATGCACATTAGAGTGTATTTTTGCTGCTCTTGGCCCTTTTTTTTAGGTATCATTGGAGCTCAGGTTGCACAGGTCCTCCTCTCACTTCTGCTGAGTCTACTTTCATTCAGAGTTGAGGCATCTTTCCTATTAATTTATTTAAGAGAGAATTTAATTTTCTGGCCTGAGACCAGAAGACTCAGCAGAGATCAGTAGTGTCTGCCAAGCTTAGAAGATATGTGTGTTGCCTCTCTAGTCATCTCCTGCTCCCCACCCTTCTGGGGGTGATAAGAAAGAGAGGAAGGTCCCAAAAGTGTGTATGTGCTTGATTATATAATATATTGGCAGTTAAATAAAAAGCTAATTTATCTCCTTTTCTATTTGGTTTGGTCTCCTTTGGTACTGGGGAATTGTGTACATAAAACTTGATTAGGAGAGCAGTGCATTCACTGGCTTCAATAAAAAGCCAATATTTGAATTTTGGTTTCTTTCTTGATGTCAGCACCACGCCTCATAAAAGCTTTACAGCCGTGTCAAGTGGTTTAGGTGGCAGGAGGATAGAGATGGCCATAGACTTAGAGAATTTTGTTTTCTGTTGTAAGAATCTAAGGGTTGTGATGAAAGAGAGAAAATGTCCAGAATGATCTGTTTGAGTTTCTTTGGGTGCACTTTAGCCCAGAGGCACTGGGATGAACTCAAGACCAGTAAAGACTGTTCAGCCTGAGGGGACAACTATATTTACTTTCTTGGGGCCAATCTGGTGGTCCTCGCTGGGAAAAATCTCCAGCCATAGCCTGGGCAACCAGAATCTCTGACTGCCAAATCCAGCTCTGTGCCTGACTTACGATGACTTTGGGCAATTCTCAGGCCCTGTCAGCCCTTACTTAGATTTTTCATCCAAGGAAATTAAACTATACAACTGCACTTGGGCTGCTTTCCAGTTGTAGCTTTCTGGGAGGCCTGATATTTTATTTCAGGGCCTAGAGGGCAGTTGAATGCCATGTTTGGACTGATATCACTGGAGCCAGTCCCTTTCTGTCCCACCTGTTTTCCCCATATCAAGGCAGCCCTTGGGCTGGGAAGCATTGGTTCCACTGCAGTCAGGGGCATCAGCCTCATTTGGCCTCAGGATTCTCTCTTCTTCTGGAAGCCAGAGGTTATGGGATAGTGAGCAGACTGAGTTGTCTATATTCTGAGAAAAAATTCTGATAGGTTGTTGTCGATGGAGAACATAAATTCAAAGGCACTTAACAGAACAAAGACAGGTATATTATCAAATTCTTGGCTTCCAAAGTAAACCTTAAGTCCACAATGCTAAACACGTTACAGGAAATTTACCCATTTGGGATGAAGGGAGAGTTTCTCTTTCTCAGCAGAATGGTTTGTTTGGTTAGTTTCACTTTTGTTTTTTGGTCACTCATTTCTCTGCTTCAAGTGGGTGAGTTTCCTTGTCGTCCAACCAGGTTTTAAGCCATGCCAACTGCAGCATCTTGACTTATTTGGGACCTCTTCCCCCACTGAACTCCTGAATACCAGGGGTAACAAAAAAGGAGAGCCCCCCAATTTTTCATTCTTGGTCTCTGGCTCTCCTTGGCATGTGTAAGGCCTGCGTTGCTTGACCTTTGTCTTTTGCCCTTGTTCATTTTCCAAGCATTTCTTTTTATTTGTAGCCATGGCAAGTATCTCATCCTAGCCTGTCGCGCTGCCTGTTAACTTTGTAGTGTCTGTTGTTGAAGAGAAGCTTTAAATTATGAATAGTCTAAAGACAGCACTTTTTTTCTTTTGTCAATCTTATTTAAGATATTTTCCCCACCTGGAAATCACTATATTAGTTCTTATTATAGAAATAGTGTGAGAACTATTTTTCAGACATTAGTGTCCAAAAGGAAAGTCCTAGAATTGCTGAAAAAGAAAGGAAGACATCACAACTCAATGATGCATTTTTACGACCACCAAGTTGGCAAAAACTTAAAAATTGGACAATAGCAGTGTTGCAGACCACACAGAACAACAGGAACTCTTATACATTGCCAATGGGAGTGTAAATCAGTAATTCTTTGGAAAACAAGTACACTTTATCTTAAAAATTTAAAGTCCTCCCAGACATACTGTATGGAAATTTATCCACATGTGTACTAGGAGATGTGTACAGGAATGTTCATAACAGTCTTTATAATACCTAAACAGATGTATCAAGTTTCACTCCAAAGTGAAAGTGTAGCTTGTGTCATCTTCATACAATGGTATACTCTATAGCTGTGAACCTTAGAGCAATGGAATGCTGTGTAGTGAATCAGCTAGAGTTAAATGCATTGACACGGATGAATCTCAAAAAACTAAGGAATGAAAAAGGCAAGTGATAAACTGATGCGATTTACATACAATTCAAAAACACTTGATGCTATTTTTAGGGTTGTGGGCATAGTGATACAACTATGAGGAAAAGTAAAGAAATTTTTAGAAATCAGAGTAGTAATTACCTGTGATGGGGAGGGAGGGAGCTTCATTGTGGCTACTCGACTCAATACATTAGCAGTATCGGTGATATTCCATTTCCTTAGCAGGTGGGAGATACATAGGTGTCCATTTTATAATTCTTTTTTATCTTATACATATGCTACATTTCATATGTGTATGAAAATTGTTCATAATTTTTGTTAAACCACTACAGTAGTCTGGAGAGGGGTGCATTAGAATCTGTATGTTTAGTCAACACTTTGGTGATCCTATTGTAGATGGCACAAGTTCCAAACTTGGAAAAACACTACCTTAGATTTCACACTACCTTGAGATGATTGGCCTTATTCTTGGCAGGGGGGTGGCAAGGAGATTATTATTGAAGCAAGGCTGCAGATTCTTGACCGGTTCCAGTGCTGTGTGACAAAGGCAGAGATGAGAGGAGCAGGAGTGGGAGTCCAGAGACCTGGGTCCCAGACCTCTAACTTGCTGTAGGGCCTTGGACATTTTATCTCACCTCCGTGCCCTTGTCTGTGGAGCGACGAGATCAGATTGCCTGTAAGGTCCTTCCTTCTGTGTTCTGAACTCATGACCTTCCTCCTCTCAACCCTGGTGTCTTCTCAGCCGGGTCCCAGTGATAAAAAATCAGAACTGCTGCCTGCTGAGTGGAACAACAATAAAGATCTGTATGTTCTCCGGTATGAGTCGAAGGATGGGTCCCGAAAGCTCCTTGTGAAGGCTGTCAGCGTGGAGAGGAGCATGATCATCAATGTGCTGGTGAGTCTCTCAGACATGGAGGGGTCTACTGATGGGAGAGGATGTTGGGAACACCTTTTTGAAACTCATTTAACTGTATGGATAAAGAGCCCTAAATGTTTGTGAAGTCTTTACCCAGTGAACCTATTTCTGGTACTTTATCCTGATGGAAGAACCCTAAATATAGAAAAGCTTTATGCACAAAGATTTTCATCACCTGGTACTGTGGGGGCGGGGGAGGAGGACACTTTCCATCACAGGGGGTTAAGCAAGTTAAGATAAATCCATTCAGTGACATGGGAGGAAAAAAACCATAGCTCCTGGGGGATACTTTTAGTTCTTTCACTAAGCTTAGCTCTCTGCTGCCTTGGAGCCTTTACACTTCTTGTTTCCTGTGCTGGGACGCTCTTCCCTCCACTGCGGGTGCCTCGCATGCATACACACCTTTCATCCTTTCTTTAGCCAGGCCTACTCCCTCTCATTTTTCAGTTCCCTAAGAAGCTCAGTCCTGACTACATACTCTCACCTGTCAGGCAAGTCTAAACTGTGCCTCTACTTTGTCATTTCATTTTCCTGCCTGGTACCACAGTGTGTGCTTGTGTACTTATTTACACTTTGAGTTAATGTTTGTGTTCTGTCACTGGTCAGTGAGCACCATTAGGGCAGTGATTTTCTCTTTGTTAAGTTTTGCCCTGGTTATCTGTGTATGTTCATAGAAAAGTACTGTATGGTCTGTATTGTACTGCACCTGGCTTTTCGCGCAGTGTGGTTTGGAGGTCTTTACTGTGCAGTGTTCCATAAGACTGTGATTTATGTACCCCTTTCCCTTTTGATGAACATTTAGGTCTTGTATGAGACAAGGTTCTTAATTACAAACAACAAAGTCCCCTTAGTTTAAGCAGATAGGGTTATTGAAGAGTTGGGATAACGCATTGAATTATTAGGAGGGCTAGAGAACAGGTTCAAGTCTGGGCTACAGGATAGCGTCCCAAGCCATGCCATGGAGACCTCTGCTCCTGCTACCACACTGGGGTGTTAGGTGCTGGCCGATACTGCCAGCCCCTTGCTCCTTCTCATGAATCCCTGATGCTGTGACCCCTCCTTAGCAAGATGTCAGTCTCTTGCTCAGCCTGCCTCCCCTTGTTGCCCATCTCCAAGTTGAAGTTGTGCATCCATTTGGCACCTCAGTACATGCCTGTGCCCAAGCTGCAAAGGAGCCTAGGAAGTAGGTTTTCTGGGCCGTGCCTCAGAAAAACACTATTCCAAAATCAGAGAAGCCCCCAAGCATTGGAAGGATATTTCCTGTATTTCAAACCGTCCTTGTCTGTGTCTCTTTGTACACATACATATTTCTTTAGCTCGGAACTATTCCCAGTGTCACACTTTTTACTTTTATTTTTCTAGGAACATGGCTCACAGCAAGTGTCAGACTTGACCCTCAACTTGGATGATTACATCGATTCAGAACACCTGCTTGACTTCCACAGGTACTTCTTAGTGTAGCTTTCCCTGGGAAACAGAGAGAACGGTGGCCAGACAGAGGAATGGGGTTGGAGGAATCCAGAGAATTAAGGAGGATTAACAGAATGACCTTTCATTCCTGGGCACAGTCACTTCTCAGTTCTCTTATTTTTAATTTGCTTGAAGAGAAGACTCATATGGGAAATGCCCTGTGAAACAAAATCATGCACTCGAGCCCACAAGCGCTGTAGTGGTGAGGAGGAGAGCTGGGGCAGGGCCAGGGGGTGAGCCAGAGGCTCCTGGGAAAGTTCCTAGTCATTCTGCCCCCAACTTTTTTTGTAATCCTCACCCGAGGATACGCTTTTTCATTATTCGTGAGAGGGAGGGAGGAGGAGGGGGAGAGAGAAACACTGATGTAAGAGAAACATTGATAGGCTGCAGTCACGGTGAGCGGGGACTGAGTCTGAGGCCCAGCAGTGCATGGGACAGTGTTCTAACCACTGAGAACACCGCCAGGGCCCAACTCTTATTTAACAGGCTACTTTTAGAGCAGTTTCAGGTTCACAGCAAAATTGAGCAGCAAGTGCAGAGTTCCTATGTGCCTCCTGCCCCCCCAAACATACACACACGCACAGCCTCCTTCCCTGTCAGCATCCCTCACTAAAATGGTGCATTTTTTAAAATGGATGAACCCGTACTGATGCATGTTATCACCCAAATTCCATAGTTCACTTTGGAGTTCACTCTTGGTGGTGTTGGAGTATGTTTAAGTTTGTAAGAAATGGCCAAATCGTCTTCCAAAGTGGCTGTACCATTTTGCATTCCACCAGCAGTGAATGAGAGTGCCTATTGTTTCACATCGTGGTCAGCATTTGTTGGTATTAGTGGTTCAGATTTTGGCCATTTTAATAGATGTGTAGTGGTATCCTGTTGTTATTTTAATTTGCAGTTCCCTAATAACATATGATGTTGAGCGTCTTTTCATATGCTTATTTGCCATCTGTATATCCTCTTTGGTGAGGCTGCTGTTGTAGTCTTCATTACTTAATTGTTTTCTTACTGGGTTTTAGGAGTTCTTTGTAACGATGACACATTAGTATCATTTAATACACAGTTCATGTTCAGATTTCTGCAGTCATCACAGCAGTGTCCCTTTTAGCTAGCTAGTCTTCTGGGTTTTGGTTTAAGGGTTTTTTTTCTTCTTAATCCAATCAGGATCACGCATTGCATTTATTTTCATGTCTCTTTAATTACCTTTAACCTAGAGCAGTTTCTTAGACTTTTTTTGCGTGCGGCATCAGTATTTTTGAAGACTTGAGGTCAGTTGTATAGAGTGTTCAGATCGTTTTCCTTCAGATTGGATTTATCAATTGTTTCCTCATCATTTGATGTAGGTTGAACTTTTCAACAAGAACACTACATAGGTGAGGCTGTGTTCTCAGTGTTTCATATCAGGCATGTGACGTCTGTCTCACAGTTGGTTTTGTTCAGTTGGATGGCTTGGTTATGACAGTATCTTCCAGCTTTCTCTGTAGTAAAGGCATCTGTTGTCCCTTGTGTTTAATAAGCGATCTGTGGGATTATACTAGCAGACCATGAATAATCTGCTTTGCAGTGGTCTTTCACCCAGTGGTTTAGCGTCTACTGATGACTCCTGCCTGAATCAGTTATCGTGATGTTTATAAAACAGTAATTTGTTTATTATTTCTACATTTATTAGCACTTTTTAAAAAAGGTTTTCTATTTTTCTTGTCCTCTTTATTTTTAATTTTTAAAATATCAGCGTAGACTTACGGATTCTTTCTTATTCGGAGCTGTAGTCCAATTCTGCCATTCTCTTAATGCTCAAGTTGTTCCGGAGTTGACCAGTAGGACCCTTCCAGCTGCTCCCTTTGTCCTCTTGACATGTCCTCACCCTTCCCTGAGCGTTTTCATACTTTCTGGCACAATAAGGTGTTATAGTCTCATCTTGCACTTTCCTTGCCTCTGTTTTGAAATTAGCAGTTTTTCTAAGGAACCATGATTTCTGTTCATGGAGAATATTACTTAAAAACCAAAATCTGCACCTTGAGCATGTTTATTAAGACTAAGGATATCATTGCTTCCAGGCCTTGTCAGAGAACAGAGCTCGGAAGCTTTTCCTTAAAATTTGTTTTTCTTACATTTCAAACTGATACTTTTACTTTTTATCTACACATGCCCAGGTTGCGGGTTCAGTTCCCAGTTGGGGCACATATGGGAGGCAACCAATCAACGTTTCTCTCTCACATCAGTGTTCCTCTCTCTCTCCCTCTCCCTTCCTCCCTCCCTCTCTAAAATCAGTAAAAGCATATCCTCGGGTAAGGATTAAAAAAGAATGACAGCAGCCAACACAATAGCCATTTGGTGTGGATCAATCACAATTACACCTATTTTTTTAAAATATGTTTTTATTGATTTCAGAGAAAGGAAGGGAGAGGGAGAGAGAGCGATATAAACATCAATGATGAGAGACAGTCATTGATCAGCTGCCTTCTACACACCCCCTACTGGGGACCAAGGTGGCAACCCAGGCATGTGCCTTGACCGGGAATCGAACTGCGATCACCTGGTTCATGGGTCAACACTCAACCACTGAGACACATCAGCCAGGCTACACCTGTTTTCTTGTCAGTTCAGCAAAAAATAGATTTTTGGTGTGCCGCAGAATTTTAGTAATTAGTTTATGTGTGCCATGAGACAAAAAGGGTTGAAAATCACTGTAGTGGACAAAGGAACCAAGAAGTAAAGTGAGGCCAGGCTTGGCCTTGGCAGAGCTGCCCACACCATGACCCCACCATACCCTTAAGAAGATAAGGGAAGGATATTTGGAGTGTGGTCTCTCTTGTCATCTTCATTCTGGAATTCCACTGGGAGAGAAATTGACAGAACTTGTGGAAGAACCCAGCCTGTATTAAGCTGTTCATGCACATTAGAGCATTTAGTTGCCTCAGCAATACTGAGAGAGAAACAGTGGATAATGTTTCTATTTATTTTTTTAAATACACTTGTTGCTAGGTTTTATGTGTGTGGGTGTTTTGTTTTGTTGATTACTGTGAAATGAGGGGCACAATAGTACTATTTCAGCTGTTGTTCTGAGAATGAAATAAGATGTCAGCACAGAGTGCTTAGTGCTGGGCCCAAGCTCTTAGTAAATAGCAAAGGGGGAAATCTGATCACTAGGAATCATCTCCATGGAAACTGAGGCTTTGAAAGCTAGGGTGTAGAGCTGCCTCCTAATCATAAGGCCTCCCTCTGCCTTACTGCCAGCACGGGGGCTGCCTACTTCTAGGCCCCTTCCCCCATGGGGACCTCCCTTTCAGGTCATCATGGCATGTCTTGTCTGTTTTAATTAGTTATTTCATTTTGGCTGAGTTGTTACACTGTGTGGTTTTTGAAGAGCTGGTCTAAGTTGTTAAGTTGTCTCTTATTATCCTTTCATTGGCAACAGAGCTGTTGTAAAATCCCATTTCATTCTTTTTTTTTAATCTTCACCCGAGGATAGGTTTTTCCCCCCATTGCTTTCCAGTGAGAGTGGAAAGGAGAGAGAGCGAGCAACATCAGCATGAGAGAGACACGTTTGGTTGCCTCCCACATGCACCCCAGCCAGGGCCAGAGATCTAGCCCGCAACCAAGGTACGAGCCCTTGTCTAGAATCGAACCCGAGACTCTTCAGGCTAAGGGCCAACACTCTCACCACTGAGCCAAACTGGCTAGGCCCATTTCATTCTTGATACAGGTGATCTGTGTCTTCTCTTTTTATGTGTGCCAGTCTTGCTGTAAGTTTATCAATTTTATTCATTTTTTTGGAAGAACCAGCTTTTTAATTAATTTTTCTGTTATTTTCCTGTTTTATTGATTTCTCTTTTTTATTATTTTCTTCTGCTTGCTTTGGGTTTATTTGCTCTTCTTTTTCTAGTTTCTTAAGTCAGAATTTTGATTATGATTCCCCCCGCTCTTTTCCAGTATAAGCATTTAATGCCATGAAGTTTCCTCTCAACACTGCTTTAGCTATATCCCACATACTTTAATATATTATATTTTAATTTTTATTCAGTGCTTTGTATTTTTCAAGACTTCCTCTTTGACTCATGGATTATCTAGACTTATGTTGCTTCATTTCCATGTATTTAAAGACTTCTTTCTGTGTTGATGTTTAATATGATTCCATATGGTCTGAGAACATAATATGATTTCAGTTTTTATATTTGTGAGGTTTGCTTTTTGACCCAGGATATGGCTCATTTTAAAACACCTGATTTTTAGGAACTCTAGAGCCCTGCCTACTTCCTGTTACCTTAGTCTGCCTCAGTACCTCATCTGTAGCTCACATTGTTTCTCTCTCACAGGCAGAGAAAAGAGGCCCAGAGGAGCCTTCCAAGGGCCCCCGAGTTAGTGACAGAACTAGCCCTGAGCCCCCAGAGCCCTGCCTACCTGGACCAGGAACCTAGTTCATCCTCCCCACAGAGCCTTGGCCTTCCCTGACCCCTGTGACACATGATGAACACACAATTGAGGGTGGGGGGGATGGGGTGTGCACAGAGTAGCAGCCTGTCCAGACCCTATGCCCCTACACTCTCACCTCTTTCTAATGGGGTGGTAAATGAGGAGGGGCAACTCAGATGCCTAAGAAGCTTAGGCCCAAGTCTCGGAGACAACCTCGGGCTCTTGCCCCCCTCACTGAGGCCCGCTGGGCGGCCCATTCCCACCCTTACAAACAGTCTAAGCGGAACGTCAAGAGCCGTCGAAGCCGCGGTAGCCACCAAAATACTGTATGCAGGGTTGCCAGCCAGCGACAAGCAGTTGACACCTCATCTGCTTCCTGCAGGACCTTCAAGAATAGTGAGGAGCTTCGGTCTCGTATTGTGTCTGGAATCATCACACCTATCCATGAACAGTGGGACAAAGCTAGTGTAAGCAGTCCCCAACGGGAGTTTCCCCCTGCCACTGCCAGAGAGGTGGACCCGCTCCGGATTCACCCACAGCACCCACACACTAGCCAGCAGCCTCCTTGGTGAGTACAGAGCCCCCAGTGGGCAGCCCATGCTTCTGCAGGAGGGTTCCACTCATGACCATCCTCTCACTTGACCTCCTCACTGGCCCCTGTGTGTCTTTAACAGAACTGTCAGAGTCGTAGTGTATGGAGATAGAAGACATTAAACAGAGCAGTGGCTTCTTGTGCTGCTACTGACCACCCTAACCACCCAGCATCTACAGCTGCCCGCCCCCTTCCTAGAGTCCAGGGGCCTCTGAGTCAGCCCACGGGTCAAAGCCCATGGGGCTTGCGTGCAGTCTCCTGGGTGGCTGCCCGGGTGATACAGTTATTCATTCCAGAGCTCTGCGTACAGGGCCCTGGACAGGCTTTTTGAGGAAATGCAGAGATGCTGAAGTGCTTTCCTGGAGAGGTGGTAGTCCCGGTGTCTTGCCTGTTTCATTTTATTGTAGCCCCCTGACCTCTTCTGATACAGCTTCAGAACTTTTCCCCTTAGGACGGAGACTTCTGCTCTAAGGGAGGAGAGAAGGACCAGGGAGACCGTGGTCCCTGACTGGGCCAGCGCTTTCCAGTTCGAAGCCCACAGTGTGCTGGTAGCGGTGGGACTGGCAGGCAGGGAGGGTTCACTTTGGGGCCATAACATGCACAGTAAATGTTAATGCCATTGTTGTCTTACTCTGTTTGGCAGTTATTTACCTTTGGTTAGTTTTTTTAAAATAGGAGATTGATTTAATTATTACAATAAGTAATAATTTTCAGTCTCTGGCAATATTCAGAAATATCGGGTCCTGTGGGAGAGTAGAAATTAACAAAAAGTGGTTGAAAGGCTGGGACAGCTTGTCTGGCCTAACATTCTCATTTTACAGACAGGTATAGAGGTAAGATGACCCTCCCAAAGTCATGAGCCACTAAGAAAGAGCCAGGGCTGGGGTGCAGGTGTCCTCACACCTAGCACAGTGCTCTGGCTATGAAGTAACCAGAATATGGTGGCAAGATTTAAGAGTAAGGCCTGGACAGCTGTCAAACTGGAGGAGATTTTTAGACCTTAAGTAGATAGTAATTCTCAGTTCTCTCAGACTTAGTGCCCATTTCAAAGTAAATAGTCTGTGAAATCTCCTTTACTCCCTCAAAATAGAATTCATTGATACACTTACCGGATGTACAGTTTCAAAAGGAATTGGTATAAAGTCCTAACTGTAATATAAATGAGAAATAAAAAGAGTAATTAATAATAAGATAATGTGTATTTTGTTGTGTAGATGCCTGAGCAAGATTTCACTGGAAAGCATAGTCAGATATTTATAATTGTATATTAAATTATCTTGAATTTGACAGCAACAAAAGCTGGCACACACAGATGAGTCTTATCAGCAACTTGAGAATATAAACTATGTTGCTATTACTAACGTGACTTTTCTGAAATGGTGAGTAGCCCTTAGAATGATAAACAAAATAGTGGATAGACAGTGTTTCTTAATTATATCAGTTATATTCCTGGAAAAAATTGTATTAGAATGGTATGAAAAATGCTTTGTGTTCATATATAAAATAGTCTTAGACTCAGATATTTATGTAGGCTTTACATCTCCATTAATTTCTAATAACACTTTCAAAAGCTGTGTGGGATGCAGGGCATTCTTTGTTATGTGGAATTCTACTGTGAATTGTAGAGCAGGCAGCATCTGGTCTCTGCCTGTTAATGCCACGAGGTCTCTTCAGGCACCGCGACAAGCAAAAACACCCCCAGAGCTTCCACAATGGCACCTGGAGGCTGTGCCATCCTAAGTTTGGAATCATAGACCTGGAGTCTAGAATTGTGAAGGTAAAAAAAATCCTGGCCTTGGAGGAAGTGAAAGAATTAGAAAATCACCGTGTTGTAAACTTCTAGGCACAAATTGTCAATGGTTGCCAAAACCATTAGGTTGATGGGGAACTTTATAATAGATGGATCAGACTGATAGCACTGGAAACCATAATCAGTCTTAACACTGAAAGTAGGACAGCCGAACGTTGCAACTTTTTTAAGTAAGTTCACAGCAACCTGAATTTCAGTCGAACTCCCAGTTTAAAAGAAGCATGAGGACTAGGAACAAGTTACAGACACGAGGACACGTGTTCCAGCCAAGCATGGAACACGAAAATTTTAACACAATAAATTGACCTTGTGATTTCATCAAATGAATGGCATGGGGAGAAAAGGGAGAGAAAAGGATTGTTACTAATAAAAGTCATATCAACAAAATACAGTGTTGGACTTGTTTGGATCTTGATTCATACTAATTCTAAATATCATTTTTGAAACATTCGGAGGAATTTGAACATGGACCAGGTATTAGGGGTTACTGCTAATTTTGTTAAGTGAAACAATTAAATTTTGGTTATACATATATAAAAAGAAGTCTTTGTTTTATATATATATATATATAAATTATATATATATATGTGTATATATATATATATATATAATTAAGTCTTTTTCTTTAAAGTAACTTTAACCCCCCACAGAATCAGACATTAGGAAGCAAGTATAGGTGAAATAAGAATGGTAGAATATTGATAATTATTGAAACTGAGTGGAAGGATGCATGGGGGTTCATAAATTATACTGTTTGTACTGTTTTGGTCCACTTGAAAATTTCCTTAATACTGATTTTTTACTAATACCAATCCACAAATGCCTTCAAAAAAATATAAGAGGAAGGGAGACTTCCCAACTCATTTTTTGAGGCCAGTATTACCCTGATACCAAACCAATGACATCACAGTACTACAAACCAGTATCCCTTATGAATATAGATGCAAAAATCCTCAACAAAATACTAGCAAAACAAATCCAGCAACATATAAAAAGGATTATACACCATGATCCAGTGAAATTTATTCCAGAATTGGTTAGCTTGACAGCTGAAAATAAATCAATGTAATACACCATGTTAATAGTACAAAGGACAAAAGAAACCACATGTTCATCTCAAATAGAGAAAAAGTATTTGCGAAGTTCAACACCCTTTCATGGCAAAAGCAGTCAGCAATAGAAGGAAACTCTCAGCCTAGTGAAGAGCATCTGCAAAAAGCCCACAGCTAACATCCAGCTTAATGGAGAAAGACTGAACGCTTTCTCCTAAGATCAGGAACAAGCAAGGGTATCTGCTCTGGCTACTTTTATACAACATAGTACTTGTTGTATAACAAGTACCAGGGCGATCACTCAAGAAATCAAAGGTATCCAGATTAGAGAGTAAGTAAGCAATCTCTATTTGCCAATGACATGGGATCTTGTAAATAGAATATCCTAAGGAAATTTAAAAAAAACAAAAAAACCTTTTTAGAACTAATATACAAATTCAGCAGTGTGGCAGGATACAAGGTCAATAAACAAAAATCACTTGTATTTCTATACAGTAGCAGGGAACAATCCAGAAATGAAATTAAGGAAATGATCGCATTTACCATAACCCCAAAAAGAATAATAAATATAACAAAAAAAGTGCAGAATTTGTATATTGAGAACTACAAAAGATTGTCGAAAGAAATTAGGGAAAATCTAAATAATGGAAAGATATCCCGTTCATGGATAAAAAGACAATATTGTCAGTACTCCCCAAATTGATCTACATATACAATATAATTCCAGTCAGAATCCTGGAGTGTTTGTGTTTGTTGGTAGGGTTTTGTTTTGGTTTGTTTTTTTAAGAAATTGGCAACCTGATTCACAAATTCATATGGAAATGCAAGGGAACCAGAATAGCTAAAACAATCTTGGGGGTGGAAATTGGAATACTTACACTTCTCAATTTCAAAACTTACTACAAAGCTACAGTAATCAAGACTGTGGAACTGACATAAGGATAGACATATAAAGCAAGGGAATACAATTGAGGGTCCAGAAATAATCCATACATTCATGGGTAATTATTTTAAAATAAAAATTATATTAAAATTTAGATGCTAAGGAGCCACTTAGGTTCTTAAGTCTACGGTATTTATGGAGCTCACTATGTGTGGGACACTAGATCTAACCCTGGGTACTTCACTAAGGCCAGTGACACCATGTGGGCTTCTGTTGTCATCTCATCTCATCGGGAAACAGCAGGGTACTTGGGAACACATAGGAAGAGGAACCTGAACCACAGTTGGTATTCAGGGAAGGCTTCCCCAAGAAGGGACTGACCTCTAAACAGGAGATACTTAGCCAGGCAAAGAGATGGGCAGGAAGGGTGCTTCAGCCTGAAGGACTGACCTTTCCAGAGCCATGGAAGGACAGGCCACAGTGTGGTTTTACAGCTGGTTGCAGGTGGAGTAGAGTGGTGGTGGTGGTGGTGGTGGTGAGTCAGTCGCAGCGCCCAGGGCAGGCTTCCCCACTCGGGGAAGGGACAGGATACAATGCTCCCTATCAAGATGGTACGTTGTTCCATAATGAGGGAACAGTAGGCCAGATGCACCGGACTGTCCCTGAAGTTTGGCTATAGGGGAAGAATTCATGTCCGGAGTCCTAGGATATAACAGCTGTGGAGGATGGGGCTGGATTTTGGAAGGCCCTGATGTGAAGTGCATGAATCTTCCCATGGACAGTTGGAAACCACTGAAGGATTCTGATGATGGCAGTAGTGCCTTTGGCTAAAGAGCCTGGTGGGTTGGAGGGCATAAGGCAGAAGGCTGAGCCTCACCACACCTGCATACCACTCTTACCACCCACCCAACTCCCATGTCAAGGAGAGAGTATTATATGGCAGTTAGGAACACAGCTTTGGAGGCTGACCTTGTAGCTTTACCTGCCAGCACATTAAGCCTTTCGGAGCCTTGGTTTTCTTATCTGCACTTTGGGATCATTATTTCTGTTTCAGAGGTTTCTTAGGATTGAATTTGGTGAATGTCACACATGGAGCTCATTGCTCAGAATATAATAAATATTCATTAAATACTCAGCGGGTTCCTTTCAGGTAGCAGCAGAGATTAGAACAAAACGGAAAGTGTAATGAATAGAGGGTGTCCCCAGAGAGAACCTTGTTTTATGTTTTTAA